TCAGCACGTCGGGGACGGCTCAGGCCAGGGACGGGATGGCAAAGGCTTGGGAAAAGACAGAAGAGACTGCCTCTACTCAAGGCCATTGATAGTTTAGCTACCAGAACAGGCTAAAAAAATGCCTCTACCATGACCCCTAAGTACCGACAGAGCGAATGGGCGATGCTGCACTCCGGGCCGTGTATGACAGTCTGACGGGAGCAGGGATGATCAGAAAGGGAAGTCTCACAGCTGCAAGGGGACTCGGTGCAGGAGCAGCAGGGCGAGCGGGGTGCTGTCCCCATCTCCAGACACCGTAAATCACACGTTTTACCTAAAACAGATTCTCCAGCCCAGCCTGGCCCTGTGGCAGGAACTCGCCCAGGAGGGTGCTGAGCCTGCAGCACCAGGAAGGTCCAACCAGCTGCCCCCGCGGTGTGGCCACAGCCACGGCCACTGCAAAGCCTCGAGCTGGGGACAACCGAAATGCATTCTTCAGGACCTGGAAAATGAGATCTCCAGCTTTTTTTTTTTGTTTTTTTTAATACGGATGTCACAGGCCTGGCAATCATCCCTTCTTTGCCCTCGCACAGCTCCGACCACTTGAAGCGGTGTTCAAACACACCGGTTTGGATTTCCTCCTGACAACGCTCCAGGTCCCTCCTCAGCCCCTGCCGTGGGTAACACCGCGGGCGCAGCGAGCTGCTGAGACGGACGGACAGACAGAGCGCCACGCTGCACTGGGGGGACCGTCCCAGGCCTGTCCACTAGGCTCACGCCTGCGGTGGCTATTTCCTGCTGTGCCCCCGAGAATCCTTCTGGTTTTTGTCTTGTCATGGAGCACAAGCAGCACATCCCCCCAGTGGCCCAGGCTCCCTGGAAACCCGTTGGTGAAGCCAGGACACACAGGTAAAGCATCCCTGCCCCTGAAGCAGGGGAGTAGATTTGTCCTTTCTGTTCTCTTTAATTTTTGAAGCGAACAATTTATCCCCGCTGCCGTGCCAGTCACCTTGGGCTGCCTATTAAATCTCCCAGTAACCTGGGGGGGGGCTGCAAGGCGGCAGCGGGGTTTTCTGCAGCCCGTGGCATTCGTCAGCTCCACGTGTCACACGCTCACCCGAACGGACAAGGATCACCCTCCACCTCGGGAGGTTAAAAGCTTTTCCATTAGCAACTTTGTTGGATGCATACTGCAAAAAGATAAAGCGCAATGAGAAAATAAAGCCTTGTCATTTACCACTGCAAATAATTCAGGGCTGATAATGAGAACGAATCAATCAAGGCAGAGCCATTGGATTGCAAGGTCTTTCCAGCGGTATCAATGGAAAAAGCGCATAAAACTCTGGCACTTTAACGGCCTCTCGGCACCGTCTGCAAGAGACTGAGACTGCCAAAGGGAGTCAGTCTAGTGTACTCCTCTGGCTGATGTTTAAAACAAATGAGAATCGAAACAGAAGTAAGTGAAAAAGAGGTGTGAAGGAATTCTACAGAGAAACTGGAGAACACACCACTGCAAGAGGAAGTCCGTGCTCAGAGCGCGAGGCCGCGCGTCCCTGGCCCCGAGCAGCAGGACAGCAGCTGCCGGGCCCGGGTCTGAGCGAGAGGGACCTGGGCAGGGCTGGGCACCAAGGGCTCACGCAGGAGCCCAGAGAGCTGCTGGGCGGCTGCGAGTCCCAAACACCAGGGCAGCTGCGCCGCGTTGGGGGGGGCAGCAAGGTCACCGAGGTAACCAAGACTCCAGCTTGGCTGGCAGCAGAAACTAAACTAAAACTAAACCTCGGCAGCTTTGCGGATGCTCTCGAGTGCTTCCCAACCAAGGAACCGCTGCCCCAGGGAGGAGGAGGAGGAGAAGCAGGAGATGGGGGTTGCTCTGTCTGTGCAGCGGCAGCATGGGGACAGGGACGCCCGAGGGAGGAAGGGCTGCTCCTCAGGGAGAGCCGTCAGCCCCGCGCCTGGAAACCTGCCTGTGCCTCTGCAGAACAACACATTTGATTCCTGCCCAAAGCAGAGGTGGATCCTGACATCTGGGATAATTTATATTTCACAGCACTGGCATCTGGCAGTTAAAAAAATTTTAAAAAGAGTGGAAATGTACTGTCTCTTCCCCCAAAGCCAGTGCCAGTGACCCAAGATTGCAGTGCTGTCCCTTCACATGTCAGGAGTGCTTCCACCACTTTCTGTTTACAAGGAACAGCAAATGTGGCAGGTTTTTTCCAATGCTCCGCTCTGAACCGCATCCCGCCTCCCGATGGCAACACCCCTTTTCACAAGCCTTTCCTAATTGATCGTGGGAGCAAATGAAATTATTCTCTCTTTGAAAGGATCCAATCATGGGTATTCTTTATATCCTTTGAAAATATAATGGGACTTTTTTTTAGAAGGAAAATACTGTCTACCCCAAGTGTATTCAGCACTTCTAAAACTTGATTTCTAAAGAGTACAAAAGATCAGTGCCAGTCTGCCAAGCCCATCTATCTGGGCACTTTGTTTCTTCAGCTAATGCAAATTAAAGCATAATGGCATCAGATGGATTTAGAGTGTCCTGCCTTTAATTGGCCTCTTGTCTGCGCCTGGCTCTTGCCTGCCAGGTTTCCAGCCAGTAGCTAAGGTGAGCAGTTTATTCACTACGAAAAAAAACCCAAAAAACAAAGTTTCAGACAGATTCAGCAAAAAGATGTTGACTTCAAGATACTGAGAAACTGCAAATGAGCATAAAAGTGCATTTTTTAAAAAAAAAACAGGAGCGTGACCCACCACGTGGGTCTCCTGGACCAGGCAGGAGCTGCCCCGGGCACCCACAGCTCCACACCTGGGGGCAGAGGGGGTCCGACCCAAACCTGGCGGCTCTGGGGTGCACAGGGCTGGCCCGGGCACCCCGTCCTCTGCCCCTTCCCTCCCAGGCGATGCTGCTGCCGCAGCCTGGCTCCTCCACCCCAGCCGGAGCGGGCTTCTGCCCCACGCTCCCGCAACCAAATCCCCTCCTCGCTTGCCCTCCGGTCTTGCCTCTCTTCCTAAGCAGGATTCCTCAGAAGAGCTTTAACGACCTGCTGCCTCCCAAACCTTTGCTGGCTCAGGGTGCAGTGGGGCTGCAGAGCAGGAGGAGGTTGGATCTTCATCTAGAACCAGGAGTTCACTAGGAAAACACCCCTGGAGCTGCAGCCAAGGGCTCCAGCTGTGCAGGTAGGGAGAAGCGCAGCCCTCCCCGAGGCCCCATTACGGCTCCAAATAAGGCAACTGATTAATGTTGCAGCAGGTAAGTGCTCTAAATCTTGCTGCTCTTACCGAAATGTTCGTCCCATTAGTGAGACAAACATGAAACAGCATTCACAAAGCAAGAAATAAACACGGCAAAAAATAACACAGGCCTGAAAGCTGGGAACAAAGAGTTTAAAATGATGGGTTTAGATCACAGCAAAATTATACTGAATTTAATTAATTTGTGTACTCAGAGCTGTCAGCTCGTCAGAACGGAAAGAGCTCTTGGTCCTGGTGCGTCACCTGGCCACAAGCGATTCACTTCGGCTCATGCCTGCAATCTGCTGGGCTCGTTCTACAGACAAACCAAAGCGGCCCATTAAACTGACGCCGGGTTTGTTGCAGTTACATAGGTACAGCAGAAACCTGTTCCTAGTGAAATTATTTTCCCTGGAGCCAACTGTTTGATTTCCCGCTGTAATTAAACGTGTGCCACAGCCCTGGCAGAGCAGAGCTGTGCCTGTGTCACAGTAAGGAAGGGCCTGGAAGCTCAGGGCCCTTTCTCAGCATTTCTGCAGCTTCTCCCCGACCTCTGCCCGGAGCCAGGGTGGGGTGTTCAACACCTGAGCACATTTACAGGAACAGATGAGAAAAGGCTCGGCGGTGGCCGAAGGGAAGCAGCCAGCCGACAGAAAACGCATCAAGAAGCAGCTCTGAGCTCATCCCCCAGCACTCACCGCGACGCCTCGAGCAGACACTCGGAGGTGACTCGATGTGGCTCCGTGGCGCTGTCGGGAGCGTGGGCGCTGCCCCGGCTCATCGCTGCCCTCGGGAGCTCCTTCCCCACGGGCGCTGCCCCCGGCCCAGCCCGCTCCTCTCTGCCAGGGCTGGGCCCTTCGCTTGTGCCACGGGCCATCTCAGGGGCGCGAGGTCGCCGAGAGGCAGCGGGGTCAGGCTGCTGAGGCTTTGAAATCCTTGTTCCACCTGACGGATCGCAGCGGGACAAAGCGGGAAAGGCAGCTGTCGGCACACGCAGCATCGGGATGAGTTCACTGTAACAGAAAAACCTTGTGAAAACACTGAGAGAGACACAGAAAGCCCAGTGCTGGGGTAGAATGAAACCCAGCAGAATGACAAACACTGAGACAAATGGGATGGACATACCGACTGGTTTTATATGTGTTCTATAAACAGAAATGAATCCCAGCTGACACTTGGCAGGTAACACTCTTCCATCAGAGACCAGGGTGGGACACCAGACAACAATGAACCTTCAACGGAAATGTTCACAGAGGAGCTTTAATGGGACATGACAACACACAACAAGTAAGAGAATGAAATACTGATTTTCTCGATTTCTTTGATACTTCTATGTTTTCAGACCACTGTTATCTGCATATATTTTTAGTCCATCGAATTTATTTAGTTTGTATTAACTAGTTTCATAGAATGATCTGAAAAACAATTTCCCTTTTGTTCACCATCCCATTATTTAGAAGAGGCTGGCAGGGCTGCTGGGAACCCATTTCTAGAGGCCAGCACTGTCAAAGCTCCCATTGTCCAGGCCCCAGGAAGAATACTGTAAGTCAAATCATGACTTAAACTATCATGATTGCAGTTGGTGAAAGTCTTAAACATTTGAACAATTAAATAAAACTTATAAACAGGGAGCTTTCTCATTTTTTTGAGTAATTGGAGCGTTGTCTTTATTCCTAGAGATCGGTATAGTAAGACATGCTGTCTTACAGACAGTCTAAGAGGGGACATCAGATCTGGTTGGTTTATTTTCTATATCTGAAAATGTTTATCTTCATCTTGGTATGACAATATACATCAGCAAGAAACATACAGACACACAAAAAGCACCAGGCTCCCAGGAGAAGTCATAACTCTTCTCTTTCTGGCACCTACCAGCAAGCAGATGGGTAACTCAGGCTTTGCAGAAGAGACTGGATTTTACTGGACTTTCATCATTCATAGATGACTTCTACTCTGGGAGTGGGGGAGGACACAAATGTTTCCTATCCTAATTCCAAAATCTAGAGTGATGCGAGAATAAAAATGTTAGTCCTAAAATTGTACATGGCAGTTCAAATAGAATTAATTTCATAATTTCCTCAAGCACACAAAGCAACAAAGTCAATAAAAATAAACATGCTAATGAATGTATTTAGTCTTGGCCATTACATTTCATAAATATTTACTGTTCAGTATTCAAAGCCCAAATTCACAAGACTTGGTTAACAACCAAAATAAGAAAGACAAGGGAAAATACTCTGTTCCACTGCACTAGCAGTAAACGCAGTCACTTCCCAAGGCCCGTGTGGGGCTCGTTCCTCACACAGCAGGGCAGCGTTTGGCAGCGGGCGGGGGCTGCGGGCGGGCGCAGCGCTGGCGTGTGCCACGGGCCGTGGCTGGGCTGTCGGCAGCACGCGCCCACCGAGCTCCCCAGGGCAGCTCAGACCGTTACGTACCGAAATACGCAGGACCACGGCACTGAGTCCACATCACAGCTGAGAAAATAAAACACAACCCACCCTGAGAAACAGAAAGGCGATCATTTTGCTTTAGGGCAATCAAATAACTGGGTCAAATCTCCACAAAGAACAAACACTGACTCCAGCGGGGCCACCTGCAAAGTGCGGTATTACCCGAACTCAGCAGCAGCTATCAAAGACCGTTTGTGCTTATCTAAATTTTAAATGAGAAGTTTAAAATAAAACTATCCTGATATGGTGTGTGGAATAAAAGGAGGAAAAGAGCATGAGATGCTCTTTGTCAGGAACTTTACTTGCACTGAATTCCCTTCCAGATTTCTTCTCCTACTCAGAAGCAATACGAGAGAAATACTTTCCGAAAGAATTCAAATATATGCAAAACTTGTACTGAGGCGCATCGTTACAGCTGAAAATAATCATGTTGGCAGGGGTACAACAACCAAGTATTTCCAACACAGCGACTGGAACTGAAGTGACGAGCGGCTCAGCAGGAGCAGCGACCCCCGTGGGCTGCTGGAGCCGAGCGCCTGTCGGCTGCAGCCCCCGGCCCACAGAGCCAGCCAGCACCGTGCCCGCCAGCACCCCCGGCAGCCACCCAGCCACGGTGTGCCCAGGCAAGGACGTCTTCATGGCCACGAGGCCAGTCTTGGTTTGCTGCTCTGTGTTCCCTCACCAAATTCTTAGTCCCTAGAGATTACAGCACCAACTCACGGGAAGATGCTGCTTCCAAGCTTACACTTGTTCCTCTGATTTTCAGGATCAACATCCCCATAAGCAGTATGATTCCTTAGTCTTTTGTAGGAGATTTGCAGTCTGTAGTCATCTTTTCTTCCAGCTGTGCATATTAAACTCTCTTTCCTCCATAAAATGGTGCCAGTAAAGTTCAGGCAACAGCTATGGAATTCCAATGGCAATAAAGATATGTGGTTCCAAGGAAACTCTACGCAAATACATTTTCTCCTGCAAAAGCAGAGAAAATAGGTTTTAGAAGAACATTTATTAGGAAGTAATCAATAGCCATTTGCTCTTGTTCTGAAGCTAATTTAAGAGTTGACCAAATCTTCCCTCCAGAGATAATCCCTGAAGATATTACTTTTGAGTAAAAATCCTTAGATAGAACCAATGTCTTACTTTACGAAGAGTATCACACTTGTGATGTATTAACAGAGAGGAGAGGATGAAATACAGGACACCGGGGCCACCTTAATCAACACACTATTATATACTTCTCTTCAGGAACTCTGGAACACTCTTAAGCCTAACACTGCAGTAGATCATTTTTCCTGAAAACTCCTCAGAAGTTGCATGCTATTTATAATGGAAAAAAGCCCCTTTTACTTCTAGAACTACAAGGAGCGCAAGTGCAATAGGTATCAGAAACTCTGACCAATTTTTGCTTATCTGTAGACAGAGGTTGCACTTACAACTGCCCATTAAGCACACGGTCACCCACACTGCTCCTGAAGAAGTGTCTCCATTATTTTAATACCCTGGAAAAAAGCACAAATAAATGCCCGTTTTACACACAACTGAAGGATTTCATACATTAGAAAGGGTACCCCACCACATACCAGTGAGGCCTTAGAAGAGAAGACATTGCACTTTAGAGTCCCGCAGGACCTCGGCGCAGGCCCAGGCCACTGGGGGGGACCCCGGAGAGGCCCCTCGCAGCCCACCAGCTCTTCAGAGCCAAGGCTGACCAAGCCAGGGCACTTGCTCAGGTCACACATCTTACTCGAGTTCTGCCACTGCTTTGCCTGGACCAAGGCACCCCTCATCCCTGCACCTTGGTAGATCCCTCTAACACGGAAATACCATCACTCGTGTCCTTGGCACGCACTTGTGTGTGCGAGGCTGGAAGCTCCCCATAAAGCCCCGGATTATTTCTATAATGAAGGAAAGCCATATAAAAATGAAGGAAAACATGCCATCAGAGGACCATAGGGTGAACATCTCTTCTCCAGGACTGAAGGAAGGAGGAAGTACCAAACAATGAACTATTGATTAAAGCAAAATGTAGGTTGAATCCAGGGGTCCTGTTTGTCTGAGGGGTCACTGCAGACGAGCCCCAGGCTCTGGCCACCCAGCAACGGCTGCACAGGGCCAAACCCTGAACTGCTTACGACAGGGCCCCCCTCCGAAAAACGGGGGAAAGCTTGCAACCGAGTGCTCTTCCCACATCAGGGCTGCAGACCTCTCTGCAGCCAGACGCTTCACTACTTTGAAATTAATTTAAGTTCAGGGTTCAGCGCAAAGTGAGAGGGAAGCAGCTTCCTATTTAGTGAAAAGCAAAATCACTCACTCTAGGTAAGAAAATCCACAGCATCCCTCCCTCTCCTACCTCTTGGCTCTCTCTGTGTACTGAAATTGTAGTAATTTGCCAACCCCACCTCTAATGTTTAGACAGATCTTGTGGACTGAAGCAAGCTTGGAGCTTAGCTGTAACCTGTGTGGGGCTAAGGCTCACCCTACTAGGTTCTCTGTTAAGATAAAAGAAAAACAATTTCTCAGTGTGAGTCACTGTGAGAGGAGGTAAAAAAATACAATTAACTTTAATAAATAGGTCAAGAGAACTTCTTTTCACATCTCTACCAAAAAAAAAATGGACAAGATACTTTATATGTATGAAAACCAGTTCATCTTCCATACCTATTCCGTGTAGAAGGCAATAAGGCAACTACCTCACTCTATCAGTCTAAATTGGACCTGCCACTGTTTACAGAATGAAGCACTAATTGACATAAGTGAAGACTCAGGGGTTTGCCTAGGGAATTTAAAAATGTTACTTATTGAATCAATTATGTTCACAGTGTGACAACTGCTTTTTCTTTTATTTTTCCTCATAGCACTACAGACTTTTAGGGAAAATGGTGTTGAGTAAGACAAGGGGAATGAGAGGGAACTCCATTAAATGAATAAAATACGAAAGGGCAGGTACAAGTCACTACCCAGTATCTTTTCAGCAAGGAACAACTAAATCAAAGCCTAATCAATATATTCCTTTCAACTAAAGTTCAAACACTTAAATCTCAGCCCCAGGAGATCAGGCTTAAAGGAGCTAAATTTACACTGCTTAGAGTGCAATGATGCACTTGAAATGCAGAGCAAACATTGCCAACCCATTAAACTCTGCACCTCTACAGCCGCAGCTTAAAAGCTTCTCCGAGGGAGAAGCCAGGGAAGGGTTCTGTTACTCAGAGGTGGAGGTGCTCTGCTGCTGTGAGACGCTGCCCTGCTGCAAGCGTCCACACACAGCCCTCACCCGCCGCGGAGGGACGGAGCCGGCGGATTCCCAGGCCAGGGGTGGCTTCGGGTGACTCCTCCTGCCAGCACCACGTCGTCCCCGCAGCCCGCTGAACGCACAGAGCACAGATCACGTCTCTAACACACTCCACACCTTCACCAACCCCTGTCAGCTTTAAGGAAGAGGTTAAGCGACATACAGAAGTACCAACGGCCTGTTGAATGCGATGAAGGCAACGCATCTTGCAGCATGCACCTCATTTCCACTGCCAGTGCAAATGCAGGGTAACATTTTAACAGACTGGCAGGAAATGTTATGCTGTCTGCAAGAAAAGCACCTAATACCTTTCTTTCTTTTTGTAACCATGACAAAATATTTTGCAGTTAAGTATTTGTTATTTGAGCTCGGCTCCATCACTTAACAAACACTACATCACAGCCTTTAATTTTCATCTCTGATATATTCAAGTCAAGCAAAAGGGATCTAAAAAAGACACCAAGAAGTGAAAATGACAGAAATGTTGCAACATTTAAGAGGCAACAGATAAAACATCTACCAACATAACCAAAGTTTCTTGCTACAAATGCTCTTTATTGTGTGGCCTTAAAATCACTTGTAACTTTGCTGTCTGTACTGCTTCATGCTGGCAGGGATCCTCATAACTTAGACACATAAAAACTAATTAGGCCACCTGTACAAAAATTTTTAAAACTCACACGCACAGAGACTGACTTGAGGGGCCACCGCCAGCCCCCCTGGGCTGGAAACCTCTCCCCGAGTTTGCCTGCAGGCTGCGGAGCGCCCGCTGCCCTCCGAAGGGAGCCAGGCTCTCCCCAACAGACCCAGCACGGGCTGCGCTGGCAGCTGGGATTTACCAGCATGTCTGCTGAGGCTTGGGAATTATTCAGGAGGAAACTTTTATTGGCAATAACATGGATGCACATCATTCATTAATACCTTTTCTGAACAGGTTAGAAAAAAAAAAATAAAGGCTGTAATTTCCACCCAAATGCACTAAGAACTCTACAAACAAAAGCAGGGCAGAAGAACTTTATCTCCTGTATTTTCATTCAGAGCTGGAATAAAATATGAGAAATGTGACAATTATGAGGAGCCATAAAATGTCACTGTCATTCTGTTAGGCATTAAAAAACCCTACTCACAGAATAGGCTCATATCTGTTACAAAAATAATGATTTAGAGATCAGCACCTTTGGTGCCCATGAACAATTTCATCAGGAGTAACTTTTCCCTTTCTTTCTGTAAAATAGTTTAATATTGACTGTGTGAATATGTAAGCTTTATTGCAGTCATTCACAAAATTTAATATTCATAAGGTATTTTCTCCTGCTCACCCCCTGCTCCACTTCCTCTGCCCCCTCACACTGCTGCCTCCCACTGTTTCCTTGCTCCCTTATCTCATCTGAGCCTCTCCAGACAGAACACCGGAGACGTGCACGGCTGCCAGGATCGAGGAGACAAAGCAGGGACCGCGGTTTGGCCTCCCAAGTACCACCCTTCCATACTCCCAGCAAGGAGAGCAAGCGCGAGGGAAGCAACGGCCTTTGGCCAGGCCGTGAGGAAGGATGCAGATCAGGTACTGGAAGATAAGAAAATAGAAGCCTGGAGAACATTTATCAAGCACTGTCATTCATGCAACATGTATTTAAAACTTTAAATATCATCTTTGTATTATCATTTACTACATTTGGGTAAAACATGCCTCAGAACTGCTCTACAGCCAAGCCACCAAAGGAGAAATTAAACGCACGGATACAGCTGCTGCCTCAGGAGAGGGAGGTTTTGGAGGCGTGGGGAAACCAGGCAAGACTGTACGTTTATACTACATCTGGTGTGCTTGTATTTTTCTTCTTCACAGATCTGCAGACATAGCCAAAATTGCTCAAGTATTTCTAATGCAGCGCCGTAGAGATGCTGCGGGCCAGTCTGTTTTCTCCGCTACCCCGCGCCACCCTAAGCCAGCAAAGCGCCTTTCGCTGCTCACGTCACTGCTGACACTACACAGCTGTCTGCTTCCGTCTTGTTTTTTTGACTTTCAAAGCCACAACATAAAGATCTTACAGATATCAGAATAAGCAAATGAATAAACGGCCATGCCATTGGAAATACATTTCCACTGATGGTTCTTGAGGCAGAGGTTCCAAAATCAGGTTCTGAAGCAGAGGTGAGGGCTGGGGCTGTCGGCCCCACGCCAGCGGAGAGGAGAGTGCCCGATGGGACGGCGCCACGCTCCAACCCCCGCCCCTCCAGCATGAGAGAAGACAGGGCACTGCTCAGGACACTTCAAAACCAAACCAAACTCAAAAAATACCTGTAACAGGGTTAACCACTGGGTCCCCATGACTAATTAAAGAACAGTGTAAGGCATGATCTGAGCTGTGGACATCTAAGTTCATCTGAGAAACAGATTTCTCCATGAGATAATTGAAAAATGATAAATAATGGTAAATATAGGTTCATCACAGTCCTGCAGTACATAAGATTCATGAGCCCAGACATGGAAATGCCATGTTTTCAGGCACATACATCTGCTTTCATTCACCTGAAACAGGATAGAAACTGGAAGGGGAGAAGGGGAGAAAAATAACAAAACAAAAAAAAAAGGCAAACCCCCCCCTCTTATTTTCTCATTAAAAAGGTGTAATTAAACATTCCTTACTTCTCTTTCTTGCTCCATTTTCACCAGGTGCAAATTTTAAACAGTCTGCACAGCACAGCCTGAACCCCCAAATCTCTTCAAGGCACAAACTTCCAGAGAAGACAACTTCCACACAGCCTCATCTCCCCGCAAACGCTCCAGGAGACGTGGCTGTTAAACCCAGTTTATCAATACGACGTGACTCCCCGAAACGAAAGGCCTCTGCACGTTCCCTCCCTTGGGATGCTCTGCTGGATAGCTTTTATCCTCTTTCATCATTCTTACTGAAAGACACAACTGTTGAAGTACACAGAACTGCTACAGGGAGATTGACTGTGGCTATTGTAAATACATCAAGCTGCCAAAAAAAATTTCTAACATTACTGGAGAAAAATGCGTGACATGATATAAATTCATGTTGACTACTTTTGACTATTTCAGTGTAAAGGTGCTATAGAACTGCAAATTATTATTACAGTATTAGCTGGTACAATGAAGCATTAGGAAGAAGAACTGTTTCAATGCCTGGGGGAAATCAGGAATAAGAATGAATTACAGAAACTGATACAGTCATACATGCCGTGTTTTAAAATGTATTTGAAATGGAACTATTACCATAATAAAACTAAATTAGTTTTTGTTCTGCTTATTCTCTGTAGACAAAAGAAAAGGTCAAATATTTTTTCAACAATTAAAAGATGTGAAGAATCCAGACTTAAAACAACAATTTAGTTTTGAACCCAGATGATCCGGTGATTTGAAAAAAAAAAAAATAATATAATTCAGGGAAGAAATTCAAGCAATAACTTACCTTCTTCACACCTTGTTTTAAAAATGATCGAGCAAAAGCTTCCAACACACAGTTGAGCAAACCTGCCCCCATAACCGATATTCTGCCTTTCTGTGTGAAGTCTGTCCTAAGAAACAGGAACACAACAGTCTTATTCTTCTGTCTATTTAGTAAAGAGCAAGTGTAAACTCTGTGTTAGAAAGTCAGTGTTTGAAACCCGAGTAAGGGATTCATCTCTTACACACTCATACTTCATACGACAATCTCAAAGGCAAACCTAAGGAGGTGCAGGAGGAAGGAGAGGTTTGGAGCCGCACCTCCCGCGCTCAGCGCCCCAAGCCCCGGGAGCGGCCAGGCAGAGGGAGAACTGGGGGGACACAGCCGCCGTCTCCAGAATCCGCAAAGCCAACGGCAGACACACTGAAACACGCTTGTGCGACTTGAGGGTCCTCGGGCCACCGTCTCACCCCAGTCAGAGGGCGGCAGCGAGGAGAGGAGCCCCCTCCCACCCCTGCAGCATGCACGCGAACCCGGCGCTACCGATGCCCTCGGCCGGCCACAACCATTTTTTATTTCTGTCAACACTGTTCTGTAAGAAGACGAACACACGGAGTTCACGTGGAGGAGCTGGAGAACGTGAGAAGTTCCCCCCAACCACAGGATGGGCGTCAGCAGTAAAAACCCACCACTGAAATCAGCTGCTCCAGCTGGGATTTATTTATTCATTTTGCAGTTTCACCATTGTAGGGGACAAAAAGGGGAGGCTCAAGGAAAATATTGATCTCTGATTGATTCCCGTAGCACGCAGCTGGCAACGTGGCATCATTACAACACAGTCACAGGGAGAAGTCTATTAATGAGATCCAACTACTAAATTATTGACTAGTTAAGTACGGCAAATTTGGTCTAATTGTTTTCATGATGGGAGTTTAATTAAAGTGTCTTTAGTATAAAAAGGTCTCGCAATATTCTGGTTCAGATAGTGTCAGGGCGAGTTTCCAAAGCCTGCACAGCTTTCAAAACTAAATTAAAAGTTACATCTAATGCAAGGCTCTTCAAAAGAGGGAGCTTTTGTACAGGCGATGTTTTCAATTCCCATCTCCAGCTGACGAGCACTGCTCACGCGTGACGTGCGTCTCCAGATCGGGGAGACAGCCTCTCACCCCGCGGCCTCCGCCCAGCCAGAGCCGGCGCCTGCCCCGGGCTGTGTGAAATGAGGGAAAGTGCCGGGTAAAAAAGGGAATCCGAGGGCAACTGAGGGATACAAAATGAAAATGCAAAGAAACGCTCCTGGCGGGGAGGGGGAGAGCAGTCAAACCAAAACAGAAGGATGGCAAGTGACACCAGAGACAACGTCCACGCTCCACAGGGACTCTCCTGTACAACCTGCCCAGACCCAGGGAAGCTGGCCAGCGCACAGCTCCAACAAACGCGGGCGGTTACAGGGGGGCTCTGCCGCTGCCCTTCCCCTCGGGTTTGGCGCTGGGCACTGACAACTCTTCCCGTGGCCCTGCCCGTCCACGCGGCCGCTGCCCAGCTCGGCGGGTGCCTGGCACACACAGAGCACACTTCGTGCACGCTCTGTGTTTCTAGGGTGACTGTGGTGCCCTAGAAGCTGCCCCAAACCACAGACGTGGGCACGCTTGCGGAGGGGAGCGGCTGACAACACCCCGCTGCTTTGATGAACTGGTGCCAGCAAACACCTGGGGCAGCACAAGCAAACAAACACCCCTGACCCTCTGCAGGCAAACGCTGCCTGGGGCTGGAGCCACCCCGCAAGCAGCTCTGCCTGCAGCCAGGCCTTGCCCACCGGGACTGACCAGCTTTCTCTGGACTTCAGACATCAAGAGGAGATGCTTGTCTATAGCAGCAATGAAATCACGGAAACCAAGTAAAAAGTGTCACAAAGGAGTTCAGCCAGGGGGATAACACAGGTGATTTCCAGCCTCTGAATACACAGATACGCTTCATCATGCCTTTTTCAATGGTCTATCATTTATTTATAGTAATGTTTGTTTGCTACTATATCTTTCCAGACACTTATATGCTCTGCTAGGAAGCACGCATAATAATTCACTTTGCAAGAATATGCAGCAGTTGGCATCGCTGTGTTCTCATTTATTTAGACAAAATAACCACCTGACGTTAAGAGGAAGAACTACACTGTGGTTAAATTGACTGTTGGGACTAAGCAAGCACCACTTCCATTGCCGCCGTTCCATTAGGGAACATCAGAAGGGCCTCGGTCTCCCTTCCCTGACTTGCGGTTCTCTAGCTGAAAACAGTAAAGGCTGGAACTGCCAAGCTCAAACTGGGTAAACTAATGTACATCGTCTGGAGGAGGTTCTGCTAAAGGCCTGTGCCACCGGTCCCTGCAGGCGCTGCAGTCCTTTGATTTTCTCCAGCAGATGGGCCTATGGAGTAGCCGGGCTGGAGTCAGCAGTTACAGCTTCACCCGAGAGGGCAGAAACCCTCTGGATTCCCATCGGCACCATCCCACCCCAAGTGCCGGGGACCAGCTGCAGCTCTCCAGAGCAGCAGCCCTGACACTGACCCCACTGGCCAGGGAAGGCCTGTGGCCACCACCCCGACACCTCCCGAGCCCCAGGTCTCTCCCTGCTGGGTGCAGAGCCCGCGCACGCCTGGCAGCTGCGGGGAGAGGTGGAGGCGGCTGATCCAGACGCAGGAAGCAGCGTTTTGTTCTCACTTACCAGCATCCCTAACGATGTCATCTTCAAGCTGATTAAACAAACAAACACCCCGCTACAACATGGTGCCTGACTGAGGTGCAGAATTTTCTCATTCTCTTCACACTGTTGGTGCCTGAAGAGTTTCAGGAGTTGCTGCTGAGATCCGCCCAGCAGTGCTTACTAGGGGACACGTTTCTGTCTGTACTCACGTTACCATCCCTCTCCTAACACTGTTCTCTCTTTAGGGGCATAATGTACAATTTTCCCACCACTCAGGATCACCTGAGCCTCCTCACTGTGTGTTTTATTTCTCTCCAGTGCAACAGTATGCTGCTATTATTATGCTCTTTGCATAATTCCTTCACCTATTCACATGGAAATGTCACCATACATTTACTACAGGCAGCTGAAATTTCACGCCTGTTTGGCCAGCAGCCTTTGTTTTAGATCCTATTACCCCAGTAAGACTGCTGAGGAGGTGACAGAGGTGTGACAGGCACACCCAGGTATCCTGCACGCTGAGGCCGGCGGGCTCCTGCAGCCACAGACCCGCACAGGCACCCACAGCACCCCCAGAGGCACCGGCACCCCGCAGCATCGCCAGCCTGCGCCAGGGAACCTGCTGCGGCTGCAGCCAGAGCCCGGCAGCCGCCACGCCGCGCCCTCCGGCTGCCCTACGGTGAGCACCCTGCCAGCCTCGGGCAACTGCCCCGCACAGCCTGCAGGAGCAGGGGCAGCACGCTGAGAAGGGCCTTCCCTGAACCCGAACTGAAAAGCCTTGAAAATGGCCATGGGTGCACAGCTGGTTGCAGTAACTGAGAGTTTCCACACCAACAGGCCCAACACCTTCAGCTGCGATGCAGCTCTGAAGCGAGGGAAGCCTCAGAGAATCCCTGCAAACTGCTGAAACAAACCAGTTTAAAGAGCCAGAGGAACATGTCCTCAAACAGCAATGTCCCAGTATGGGGCTTTCAAAAACCCCCAAGCCACCAGGAATTTCATTTCGTCTGAAGACCGTGGTTTTTTTCTTAAACATCCTTAGAGCTTTCCAAATTCACATGGACCTTGCTGGACAACCCTGCCACGCTTCCCAAGGAACATCACAAGGCAAAAGTAATGACTAATCACAAGAGACACCAGAACATAGTAAGAATTAATGGGATTTACATCAGCTGGAAATAAATCTTTCTTTAAAGACAGTCACACGTATCACATACCTGCTCATTTCAGTGCTACAGGAATTAGAAATTCCACTCTGAACCTGCCATAAATGTGCACAAAGACATTTCTAGGCTCCACGCTGCACAAACACACGTGTGTGTCCTCCCAGGCACAGATCCAGGGCAGCTCACACCTCTGGGGCACAGCGGGACAAACACCAGACAAAGAAAATTGCTTGGGAACAAGTATGCCCCACACCAATGGCTGGCAAGCAGGAGGGAGCTGATAATTTTTAAACCACTGTCCAAGCATCTGTTGGTAGCCACGACAGCAAAACGAACGCTCTGGCTATGCCTGCTGTGCACGAACAGCAGAGCAGCCTTCTATGACTGCAGAGCAGCACACAGAAATTAATTTCCAGCAATTATTTGTGCTCTGGACAGAGAACCTAACCTCATGTCTGAGCAAGGCAGAGGAAAGCTACTAGACATCTACAGCTGCTGCTTCAAATGCATTCAAGACATACCAAAGGAATTATTATTTAGACCCCTTTCATTCCAAACATTCAAAAAGCAACAGCAAAGCCATTTTCAGGGCCGCAGGGCTGCAGCAGCAGCCCTGAGCCAGCACAGGGCTGCTGCTACACCCTGGGGCCAGCACTCACCAGTCTGGATTCTCCAGGCTCTCTCTGAAGACAGACTCCTCGCTCAGGGATGCGTACTGCGTCCATGTAAGACAGTGGGTTTTCATAGCCATATTTCTCTTCTGCATATTAAGCCAAGATTCCTCTTCCAAGTGGATGTCAGGCACTTTTAAGACACTGACCTGGGAAACAGAAGAATTACAGCTTTTTTTAAAACAAAAAAAGAAAGGGTAGAATCACTTCTCAGTATTTTGAAAGGATTATTAGCCTCCGAGGATGGGACTGATGATTCAGGAAGAGGACACATCAGCTGCGGCCAGCCCAGGTGAGAACACAACTCCCTCAGCAGCTACCAAAGGCCATGCAAGCACTCCAAGCTTTAGGGAAGCGGCTCAGTCGCCAGCCGGACTTCCAGGACCACCCGGTGCAGGCCAACTTACCTGCACCACTTCGTGCTTCCTGCCTTGCTGCTGACAGGTCACTTACAACAACGAAGGATAAGAGAAGCCACCTCCAAGCAGTCACACACAAGGCAGCCAAACTAACCAGCTGAGCCACCAGGGCAGCAGAAGGGCTCACAGCTCTGCCCGCTCCTGCCAGGCACAGCCCCTTCCCCAGCTCCTTTCTCCCTGGAGGCCTCCTCCTCCTCCTCCTCCTCCTCCAATGGCCCACTTGCCAATCTGAGTGGCCTTGACCCGGAAAGAGTGGGCCAAAGAAGGGATGAAAATCTCACCAGCAGTTTATTTACATTCTGCCTCTATAGGGAAATGATATGTTCTCCTTGACAGGTGAGGCTTGGAGGAGACAAACACACAGAGGCAAAAACACACAGAGTCATCAGCACTGGGAAAAGAGTACATGCGCACTTTTAAGCATGCAGGCTGTGAAATACTACAGCTATTTAACCATGCATGAATGTAAATGTACTTTTCTGTATACAGACTATCTGCTGGAAGATGCTCTCCAAAAAAACAAATAATAAATTAAGGCTAATTCTCCTCCCATAACAAACTGAAGGAAGGACTGTCATTAAAAGAGACACAGGAGAGAGACACTAAGGGACTGCACAATCCAGATTCTTACGTTCTCTACAGCCTGATCTTATCTTCTTTATAGAGACTCTACAATGCCATATTTAACTTGCAACACGCTATAGGCACATTAAATATTATTTTAATTCCCTCTGAATTCACTTACAGAATGTTTTTGTGAAAGACTACAACCCAGTGTGTTCAGGAGCCATGGACCAGACATGCAAAATACCTGAGCTCGGCTTAGAAATAATTACCCAGTCCTGAGATCCACAAGACTGGACTTTCATAAAAATATCATCTAGCAATGAAAGTTGTGAGCATTGACAGCAACGGGACTACTATATTGGGGTGCAGGGAATGGCTGTACTTTCACAGGGGCCCAGGTAATATTTTGAAACAGCTTTACTTTCTCCACGTACCAAAGTTAAAAGCCCGTTCCTGTGTGTAAAACAACCGTCACCACCAGTTACCTCTCAGTGTGCTCAAGGCTATAATTTTGCCCATTCAAGTTAAATATAAAGTTAGTTCCTAGAGAACTTTTTTTCTATTAACTTCTCTTTAAAAATAACTTTTCTAATTTAAAAAAAAAATAATTAGGAAATGTGATCCTTTTAAACAAGATTAACAGCAGTGAAGCATTAAGGTTTTACAACGACTGAATTTCTCTAAGTAGTTACCTTTCTTAAAATTTCAGGAATTACATTCTGGCACGTTGCAATTCTCCTTCGGTAAATAATCCCCGTAGACAAATCTGATGATAAAAGAAAATCAGAAAGGAAGAGTTACAGAAGCAAATGTTACCATTTTTTAAAATAAAAACAAAGTAGTTGGAAGACTTCGCAGCACAGCAAATGTGCAGGCAGAAGTGCTGGCAAATTAACAGAGCACTGGTTTTCATTTTGCCTTTTTTAAAGTATAACCCAGTATTTCTGCTGCTTTGCCAGACAGAGGGCTGTAAATAACACTGCTGCGGGCGCTTCCTGCTCTGCCTCAGGAAGAGGGCATCTGCATCCATCACTGCAAGCCAGACCCCTTACCCGGCGAGTGCTACGCACTGTGCTGGCATCTCTCCTGGTGCTCTGGGCAGCAAAGCAGCGCAGGCAGTGCCAGTGCCAGGCTGCGGGGGTGCCCCAGGCCTCCCTCCCGCAGCCCGGGCAGGGCCTGGCAGGACCCACGGCAGCACCGGCTCGACGATGACAGGGGCGAGACAAAAGCTCAGGTGACTCAGCCACCAGACCAACACACAGACTTAAGTTTTAGTTTATTTCCATCCCCTCCTCAATTTATATTCTCAGGCTCAATCTCTGGGAAAACACAGAGTGTGAGATTTACAGAACAGTCCTGTCTCATCACACATTTATTTTTGTATTGAGTTGGACCCAGTGACAAGGACAAAACTATCTATTAGGAAACAAATTACAGTTATTTAGTATCTCAAAAAAACGGTTGGCTTTTAGAATCACTTTGTCTTTTAATATTTAATGACCCAGATCAAGAACAGAACGCTACCGAACAAGAAGCCAACTGGCAGACAGCCCAGGTTAAAAGACTTCTCCAGGATAAAAGAGTACCTTCTCGAACAGCTGCATTTGGTGGGATCTGTGAAATGAAAACTTCATGGGCTTTGGTTTCCAGAGCTCTAACAAACACATCACATCAATAATATGAAGCATCTCCATGCAACATAGAGCAGAAAAGCATTCTCCAGCAAGAGTGGTTTACTGCATCTGAAGAAAACAGCAACAGCAGCACTAACGCTCAGCTTCCCTGAATCTCAGGGCAACCTTGCTAACAACATGCTTAGAAAGAGAGCATAAGCCTGGAATTAAGAGCCACCATTAAACCTGAGCTGCAAGACAGAAGATATCTCTAAATGTATGATAAAGAACTTAGGGATTAAAATTTTAGGTATTAAAGCATTTGGGACTAAAAATTTAAAGACTGGAAGTTCCTATTTCATCCCAAATGAGTACTGGATCACAGTTCCCATAACAGGAGGAAAGATGGTTATTTCTGTGCAAAGTCCTACGGTCCTGGTTTCCCACGTGGTGCCATAACTGTTTAAAACATGCTCCGCACAGGCATGTGATGCTCGGGGGGCTGGAGCACTGCCCGTGAGGACAGGCTGAGAGAGTTGTTGGGGTTCAGCTGGAGAAGGCTCCGGGGAGACCTTAGAGCGGCCCCCCAGGGCTGAAAGGGGATAAGAAGCTGTGGCTGCCCCCTCCCTGGAAGGGTTCAAGGCCAGGTTGGACGGGGCTTTGGGCAACCTGGGCTGGTGGAAGGTGGCCCTGCCCGGGGCAGGGGGTGGGACAGGATGGGCTTTAAGGTCCCTCCCAACCCAAACCAGTCTGTGATTCCATGCTACTTTAAGTGCCTAATTGCAAGCATTTCCTGAAAGCTCAGCAACAGGAAAACAAAAATCCACGTGGTACGAGAAGAGTTGATCTGACAACTGTGCCCTGGCCAGAGCAGATTTATTTTCCTGTCAATATGACTGGGAAACAGTAACATCTGATTTTTGCTATTTCAGGAATTCTGACTGATATAAAGCGAGAGACTGAGGATCTGTGATCATTTTCTGACTGACAGCATCCTACAAGCCCACCGCGCCAGACTGATCCCTGGAACTACCCCCTCACGTGGGAAGCGAAACAGCAAGTGATCCCTCCAAAGGCAGGGATCATGAAAGCCAAGTAGCGGGACGCCTGCAGAGTGCCCGAGGCTCGATCCACACAGCTCACGGTGCTTCCTTATGGGGGCCTCACGTCTGATCTGTAGAGCACTGCAGATGGAAATCATCACAGAAGCGCCAAGGAACCATACAACAACAGAGAAACCAGCCTTGGAATAAGCTGAAAATTCAAATGCTTAATGAGGTTAAAACACACGCTTTGGGGGGAGGGAGCGGGTGGAAATATTTCCTTGGTCTTGCTTACACAATGCCCAGCATGCAGGAATGCCAGGCGTGTCTGCAGTGCCCTGCTTCTACTGAAATACAATTGCTACATAATTAATTTTAAAGGTTATGAAAAAATTTAATTAGATCTGTAAGAAAAGTCAGGCAGCTTACCTGTTTTCTCTTCCACTGTTTCTACAGCCATGATGTGTTTCTCCATGGGACTGGGATACTGGGATAAAAATGCATAGGGTAAAGATTACCACTTCTCACATAGGTAAAAGAAAATTGCTGTCACTTGTCAAGACAGAAGCAGTTTCATAGCTTCTTACAACAGGTACAAGCTGCCTGGTATTCACAGCCTGCAGTTTCCATAAAAGTTAACGGAAAGGAAGAATTTAGTAAGATTAGCTTAATAAGATTAGAAAACAAACAGAAAACCCACTGCTATGAGAAAAATCACTTGGAGGAGAGATACTAGCTTTTGCTGCAGCCTACAGACATCTTCCACACACCCTCCACACCACAGACAGGAAGACGCGAGCTCCTGACCCGCATCATGATTTTCACACGAGGGCCAAGCAGAGCTCTCAGCAGCGTGGCAGCTCCACGGGCCAGAGCCCCCCGCACCGCTCTCCACAGAGAACAACTGCGTCCCCAGTTACTGCAGCAAGCTCACTCCTTGTCACTGCTGCCAAGCACTGTCAGCCACGCAACCTACTTCCTCACACAAAGAGCTGGAGAGCACAGTGCAGCGTCACCTGAATGCAGAGCCTGGTCCGTAACCCTGCACTGTCCTGCCAAAGCTGCCCAAGGAGCGTGGCAGCACGACGTCCCTTCGGAGTGCAGCGCGGAGCCACCCTGGCAAGCTCTGCTGCTCCAGGGCTGGCCTGCAGCAAGGGTAAGGGATTGTCACTGCCTCTCCCTGCTCCAGGTAACCTCACTTTCCTTAGGCTGTACAGGCCAGTTATTTCAAGGCTGGAAGAAAGAGATTCTCCCTCTCAGACCCCTACTGAAAAGGAATTATGCCAAAATTGTATAGGTTGCCTGTAAGGCAACATCCTGCGTAAGAAATGTATGCACAAGAACAGGACTTCGAAGGATAACAGTCTATTTGGAACTTACAAAACTCTTCTGGCTAGAAATTAGACATAAAAGGCCACAAGGACCTTACTCTCCATTGCAATCAACATTCACCTGAATAATGAACTGTAAATTGTAAAGCACGAGATAATTTACTGAACTCAATACTCAAAAGTTCCTGTAACTTCCATGCCAATGCCAGACCGAAGAATAAACAAACTCCAAAGCTTTAGGAAAGGTGGGGAAACTGAATTTTAAGGCTAACTCAATTCAGGTAATGCAATTATGATACGCAGTAACAGGTGCTCCGCTAGTCTGATATAAATCTTGGGTTCTAAGCAAAAAAGGTCAACAACTCCAGAACAGGCTGTTCTATAATCCAGCTTTACTATCTGTTCTTATTGGAGAAGAAAAGTTGATTTTAAAAGTGCAAGGTTTTCAGTCCTATTCTATACAGAAATTGGAGGCTTCTCCAGACGTGCTGCTCTGAAATGGCAGTAGTGGCATAATTACGTTATCAATGTAACTTACACTCTGTAAGGCCCAATCGTGTGAAACAAAGAGCCATTTACATAAATCTTTCACTAAATAGCAGGCTCTATTACCCCAGTATTTAAACAGAAATAGACTCAATTTCCTACACAGCACAGTAAAAGAAATAACATTGCAAATCTACGAGCAGATGTAATGGCTAGGAGAGTCTAACAGCCACAGAAATAGCGTTTCCAGCCAGCCACAGCCTCCCTGCAAGGCTTCCACTCCCCAGGGACGCCAAAGCTAACAGCAGCAGAGAACAAAGAGATCTCAGCCTGGCTGTTATTTCAGCCCTGCAGTAACTCAACCCCCGAACCCTCCTCCCCGGCACCAGCGGCACAGGACTCCCATCCCTGTCCAAAGGGCTCCCGCTAGCCCAAGGGCTTCAAAGCGGCCCTGTGGTCTCCTTGCCCCGGGGGGCAAACACAAACTGCCCTGCGTCGCCTCTCCTGCTCCGCAAGGGCACGGGGAAGGCCCTGCCACCCCCTCCATGGTGGCACGGTGCTGGCTCCAGCTCCCTCTCCCCCAGCTCCTTGTGCTGAGCCACAGCGCAGAGCAAGAACGTCCAGAACCTGGAGCTGCCTGAGGAGAGGTGGCTACTACAGCGCTGGGCCCCGCAGCCACGGCCAAACGTCCCACCATGGCGCAAAGGGCACCCTGTGCCGGGAGAGAGGCCTCGGGGTGCCGAGACCGGGACGGGCTGCCGAGGCGCTCCCGCCACCCCGGGAGCTCTCGGGGCACGGCTCCCG